AGCCACTGTGCTGTGCACTGTCTCTTCAAACTTTCTGCTTCAGTAATACTAAGCTATGCTTCGGGTTCTTTATGCTCCAATAATACTGAGCTATGTATAGCTCCTTGAACTCTGTGTTGCCAAGGCCACCATGCCTTTGTATATACCGTTTCTTCTGTCCCTCAGGAAGATCCTAACCTGGCTGATAAATACAAAACCTGGCTGATATCTTTCAAAACTTACTGAGGTGTTGCTTTTCCTATATGGTGACTCTCTTGGTTCTCTGAGACCCAAGTCTCTCTTACTCAATCACGACTCATCTAGCTTAGGTGTACCATGTAAATAGTTCTCTATTGTTTCGCTTTGCAATAATTTATTTGCATGTCTTCATTGAAGTCATGCCTATGGCTTTCAGCTTTCGGATGGTTACATTCCCAGGAACATAATAGGTACTTAATAAATGTGAATTTAACTGAGCTATTGGTAAAAGATGTGACTACAAGTTCACTAATACCTAGAATGCCACGGCAGGAAAGAGATCTATTTTCTATACTCTTCATATGTTCATGAGCTAAACAAAATGAAAAACTCACCAAATGCTATAAATACTTCTGAAAAGAAGTTGCAGTTTGCACAAAAATTCAGTACATTCTGACAACTACAGCAATTAGTTTAAGATCCCTCAATGTACCTGCACAGCAACAGCTGAATAATGCAAGTTCAGGAAAAATTTAAAAGAAAAAGGATTCTTTAAAAACTTATTTCATCCTAGAGGTTCTCAGAATTTTTGATTCTCAAAAAAGTACATCTGGAAACTTGCTCAAAGTGCTTAACTGAGTCACAAGCTGCTCACTGGTTTGGATAAGGGCTTTATTGACTTAGGTGCTATCGAGATGTGGGGATTATCACTTAAGCCAAATGAAAATATGACAGATCGCTCAACATTAAGGTTAAAAATAAGATTCTCAAGACTGTGCTTCAGCAAAACTAAAAGCCCAACTTGTTGAAAATGTAGCAATGACATTTAGAAATCAATTGTAGCCTTTTACTTGCAGTGTGACAGAGAGGAGATATAAGTGAAAAAAGATTGATCTCATCCCCCACAAAAGGTTTTAATCTAGTGGGATAAGAAAGTATGTTATAAACACAAGCAATAACACATTGGGTTGTCTGAAAAGTCATGATATATTTTTGCATAGGAAAACATAGTAAAACATATGTCGTGAGCACCAGCAGATGGCATAGTGGTTACGTTGCTGGACTCCCACAAGGCTAACCATGGTTTGAGTCCTGAACACAGTGGCTTAAAAGTTACACTGGGCATGTGCGCATGTGTGCCCATGATCCCACGAGGAGAATGGAGGAGAAGGGACTGTGGTGTGGCCATCTCTCCTGGGGAGGTTGATTTCTTACTTTCCCTCTCACTGTCTCTGTCTCTCTCTGGTAAGTGCACATGCCTCATGGCAAAAACCTCTAAAACAAAACAAAGAAATAAAAAATATATCATGACTTCACTGACAATCCAATAATTTCCATTCCAAGTCGGGAAAGGAATCCACAGTAAAGGAAATATTAACAGATCTCTGAAATTCAAAGTCTCTAAAACAAGCAATTATGACTTCAGTCTAAAAGAACAAATTGTGGTTGAAAGAGTTTGTCCACGAGGCCTGTATTCTCTCAAACCAGAAAGTCAATAGCTCTACTGAGACTGACTTGAGGAAACCAGAGACAGGGAATAAAGGCAAATCCAGTCAGAAAACAGGAACTGCTTCCAGAGGATCCTGTGAGCTTTACATCGAAACAGCAAACAAAAGTCAGTAGGCATCCAGGCACCCCAATGTCTGACACAGTCAAAAAGGAATGAGGGGTATAATGTACGACCTTCGGGACGTAGCACAAGGAATAGAGGCTTTTCGTTCATCAGTACTGCACTGTACAGTCTCAAAGAACCTAGGGCTGGCTCCATGGCCTGCTGGTTAAGGCAGCCAGGCCTCACATGGCGGATCAGGTCATTTAAGTCCTACAACTGGCAGCTTGAGAAATATGCTAGGTGTCTGTGCTTGAGTGCTCGAAATCCTGAGAGAGGATGAAGTGGAGGACAAGGGGTTGCAGTGTGACCATAGCCCGTGCGTGTGTGCGTGGGATGGTGCTTTCTCCTCTCTGGCTCTTTTACTATGTCCCTCTGGTAAGCATGTGTGCTTTCTGGCAAAAAGCAACAAAACAAAACACATGTAGGCCTCAGGGTAAGTCCATGGGCTGCTTTCCTCCAAGAACTCCAGGAGTAAAGGCCCAGGAAGGGTTCTGAGTTGAAAGAGAAACCCTCAAAGTTTTCCTGTGAAATGCACAAACTTGTGTGATACTGAACTGGCAAGGCAGATGTGACATAGCTAACCCAAAGGCCTTCATGATGACAACTGCTAACATTACAAAGGTTTACAGTAGAGTCTGAAACCATCCTTGCTCTCTTTCATTTAAGTGGTAGAAACAGCCCATCCCTACGAGTTCCATGAGTCTCACTCACTGGCTCAAAGCTGAATTTTACTTGTTGATAGAAGGAAGAAGCAGGTATGAAAGAAAAAGTTAAGATGACATCATCTGGATTACAGCATTAACCAGCACAAGTAGCTGGGATGAAATAAGCAAAATGAACAATCTGGCAGGTGATTCAGCAAGATGCTAGGGGTTGAGCAAGAGAGACAGTTCGAGGGCTAAGGAACGTCCGACAGAAGCCAGTGTGAGGAGTCCTCTCTTGGATGAAGACACCCTTATTGAGGCTGGCAATAAAGGACAACTTGGGAATGGAGAGGAGAACTTTGAAAAGGAGATATTTTTAGGAAATCAGGTCAGCCAAATAAGAAAGGGGCTAGACTTGGAGAAGACAGGGTTTAGAGCAGTTAAAAGACATTGCAGAAGGGGAAGAGTCGCAATGTAACCATGTTTCATGTCCTGAAGGAAGGACAAAGAGCCAGAACTGATCACTGTGTAATAACAGAATGCTACAGCCACTCAAGTTGCCCTGGAGAGGAGGACACCTGCCCTTCATCTTTCCAAATCAGCATAATAAATATAAAGCAGTCCTGGCCCTGGGAGGCTGACAAAGGCTGGAAAGATATAGAGATAAACTTCAGGAAGCTTATTTCCAAACTTTAAAATCTTGAAAGCTTCCTAGTAACAAACAGGCCATGACACACTACTCTTAGAAGGAAGGGAAGAAATTCTACCCACTCTGCTTTGCGGGGTCCATGACTCTGGGAGTGGAAACAGCCCTCCCACTCTCTCTCATGTTGCTGGGAGGAACCCAGGTTCCTTTAGAAGCTTTTCTCCCAGCCAGGGTGAGCTGTCTTAATTGGAGTATTCAGGTTGGATAGATATTGCCTTAAAGCCAGGATCAGAGCTGCCCAAGAATTCCTGGTGCATTTGACTCTGTCGATAATACTGTCAACAGGTATGTAGGGGAAAGGGAGTCTGCAACTGCTTTTCAGGTTCTGACACACGGGTACGATGCCAGGGCAGACTTATCTCTCCAAGAACTGGCTCCAGGTAAAAGAGGAGCCTGCGTGGCTGCCAAGATACACCACTCAGAAATATTCATATTTAAGGGCTCCCGTCAAACCGAAAAGGTGAACAGGTCACTCACTTCACCACCCTGCGCAGCAGTGGCCCTGTTCATGTGTAGTGCCATCCTTCAACTTTATTAGCTGTTTCGGAGGTTTAGCAATGACACAGCTGGTACAAAATAACACCGAAAGAGACTGTCTCTGAACATAAATGGCATATGAACAGTGTAGTCGCATTGCTTAAAAAAAGAAATGAAGCTAAAAGGTAAGGATTTTAGAACCCAACATGGTTTGTGGAATCACACTGTTCAAAGTGCATTGAAAGTTAAGTATGACTTGAAAACCTACCAGATGTCACACTCCAGCACGCATACATTGTGTGTGTGTGTGTGTGTCTGTGTATGAATGGTGGATGTGAGAGTATTCCAGGATGCTTTGGAAATGTATGAAGTATCATAAAAAAAAAAATTGAAGAGAAAAAACTGCATTTATAGTAGAAAAAGTTATAGGTATAACAACACAGTAAGAACCGCGCCTTTGTGTTCTCTGAACTCTGGCACAGGGATTCCGAAGCTCCCAATCTGATAGCCTGCATCCTGTTTACCTGACCGCACCGTTGCTCTCATGCATGTTCACGTGTACATGCAATGCAAGTTTTGACAAAAAACAAAGAATCTGTATTTATACAACTCGGAGGGTGTGCCCCTCTAAAACCACAAAAAGAAAGAAAAAGGCTACTATTTTTTTGTACTGCACACAAATGTGGACAGGAAACACCTCCTTTAAAATCTTATTTTCCAACCCAAGTGTCAGCAAACTAACCCTAAACTGCCTTTCCCTGTGCCACGATCTTCATCTTAACCCTCGCAACCTAGTCTGTGAAGTATATGTTACAGAATGAAAAGGCCAGTCCTGTATTATTAATAAATGCCAGCGAATCAGGGGTGGGGGGGAAACCTAAAAATGGCAAAGTTACACAGCTCTACCTTATTTTTAAGCAGTCACATAAAATAGGCTAACTTGGGCTATCTGGCCTCCTGCATTTACCTCTCACAAGGGTCAGGTATTTAAGAGGGGACATTTGAAAGGCTCTACAAGGCGTCCCAGAAGCCCTGATGTCTGAGTGAATGAAATGGATAAACGGGGTCTGAGCAGAGGCACAGACTTAGACAAAGTATCTCTTCTCCCCTTCCCTTTTTCTCTTCCCACCACTCCCAAGGAAACATCTCATTACCCACATTTCAAAAGGAGACAAACTAGGAGAAGCCCGTTCACCAGGGTTACCCCAGAAACCACAAGGACGATGGGATACCTGAAACAGTGCCCCCAAAGCAGGGTATAAACTTTTTCAAACTGTCACCCAATAAACAAAACCCCAGCCAAGAGGCTGGGCAGCCTGGCCCCATGGGCCCTGGGAAGTGAAAGCATTTCCTCTCCAGGCAAAGAATCCCCGCGTTTTTTTACCTTTGTGTCCGCCGAAGCCTGTTCCCACTCCTCAAATGAGGCAAAGTAAAGTTTGAGAGCACAGTCCAAAAATTAGGGTCAGACATATCCATTTCTTTCTCTTCAATTCACTGCGGGTTCAAGGCCATAAGACCAAAACAGGGAGAGGAAGAAAAATAAAAAGAAAAGAAAAAAAAAAATCCCGATTATCTACTCACTCCCTCCAGAGAAAACGTGATATGAACTGTGATCTGGAGAACAACTTGGAGCATGTCTGAGAGGCACCCGTCCGGTCCTAGCCTTTAATTAATACACAGCCATCTCTCAAAGGCTCAGGAAACTTATTTCCTCTTGGGTTTGCCCTCTCCTAGCCAGCCTTGGCCAGCTATAAACAGTAATTACAAGAGTTTAGCCTGCGTTGTGCTCAAAATGCTGTCTCTGTGTGATTCAGTCCAAGGTACTTTGTCATCTGTTTGGCAGATACCATTTGCAGTTCCTGCAGGGGGTAGGGGGAGGGACGACTATTTTTAAGTCTTGGTTCCGGGAGGCTGTGGCTTATCAGAAAAACCAGTCACATCTGAACAAGCCCAGTGCTGAGTTTCTTTTTGGTATCTACATACAAGGAAAAGAATTTGAATAGGAAAAGCTCCTCTTGCCCTCCCCTCTGGAAAAGAAAAAGAAGGGAAAAAAGAAAAAGAAAAAAACGGAAACTTCAAAGCACTTTTAGAGCATTGGCCTATTGGAGGACTTGAACCTGACACCTTTGTGTACCCACCCCCAGGGTCTAGCAGGAAGCAGGACTACAACAGGGCCCCTTCCCAGCCACAGCCACCCCCCATCCCACCCCCGCAGCCTTCTCTGATCTAATCCAGTGCCTCCCCTTTCCTGTCCACGCCTGGGAAGTAGCGACTCAAGGGAATGGGAGCAGCAGACCCTGCTGTTGGGGCCCTGGAGTGGGCGCTGGGTCAGCCAAGCATCCTCCACTGACACCCCCCTACCCCAGAGCAGACATGGATCAGTCCTCCAAAATAAATAAATAAATCCAGGGCTGCTACGGAGCATGCCAAAGTGTGTGCTTGCGCACACCTGAAGGCTGATCCGTGATTCATGCAGGACCCAGCACGATTAAAACACCGAGAGGGAAGTCCCTCCTGACGCTGTTTGCTGTATAGGAAAAGCACGCAAGCGGGAAGTCGCACTCACTGAAACCCTCAGTAAACTAATTTACGAGTCTGCGTCCATTTGATGAGTTCCCACAGTGCACACCTGTTTGGCTTCATGAATGGCTGGACAGCAGCTACAGATCTAGGTAATGGTCAGCCACTCTGTGTGAAGATACTACCCGGCATTTATTGAACAAATGCAAAACCTATTTTCTATCAGTTTGTTAGAGCTTAAAAGAATGAAAGGAAGATGAATCAGTTGTTGGCATTCATTGCAAAGGAAGGCATGGTATTTAAATAACTCCCCCAAACCACAAATGCTTATGTAGAAGTATACAGAGGGAAAAAAATTGGAATTTAAATGAGCTGCCTTAAATCTGGTGTAACATGGCAAGAGAGACTAAATTTAATTTTAATTTAAGCAGAAATAGCTTCTAAAAAATGACAGTCCAGCCAATCAACACTGGGAACAAACTCATGGAAATATGAGAGTAAAGAGAACTGTGTGTGCGTGTGTGTGTGTGGGGTGGGGCTGTAAGTTGGCCAAGGAGGAGGGGCTAACAAATAACAGAAATCTGTCTTGGGAATCTTCTTTATCTAATACTTGTGACCTTCAGAAGTGTGTTCACACCAAGGACTCAGAGTTTCTGATGCTAATGTGTGTACAGGTCCTTCCTAAGGGTTTTCTCCTCATATTCTCATGGAGACTCCTTCTAACCATGAAGCCCATACATAGAGTCAGACAAAGACGGCGATACTTTCTTTTTTAGATTTTTTTTTTTTTTTGTCATAGGATGTGTGTGCTTGCTGGAGAGAGTCAAGAGAGAGAAAGAGAGAGAGAGAGAAAGAGGTAAAGAGAGAAGTCATCCCCCAAGGGGGAAGGCCACGCCACAGTCCGTTCTCATCCATTTCCTTCTGAGGATTTCGGACATGCACACGCATGTGTCCAGTATGTTTCCCAAGTCACCTGGTTCAGGACTTGGACTGTGGAGTTGGCCATGTGGGATCCAGCACCTTAACCACCACACCAACAGCTGGTCTGAAGGCAATACTTTGTTAATTTTTTATTTAAGAAACTGAGGCTCAGGGATGTTACGTCTCAAAACACACTTTACCAGCTACTGAGGGGCTTGTTTAGTTTTTTGGTTTTGTTTTTGGGTTCCCCCCCCCCTCATACTGCATTTCTCTTTTTGTAAAACAGTAAAATAAATTTTTGGAAGGCTGGCCAGACCTGTAGCCTGGTGGTTAAGAGGGCCAGATCCCATATGGCCAACAATGTGGTATGAATCCCTGCTCTGGGGGCTTAAAAAACAGGCTTAAAAAATAAATAATAAAAGGCTGACATAAAGATAGTACCAGGGTGTAGAGTGGGTTTTCTCATTCTTGGTGCCATCGACATTCAGGCTGGACAGTTCTTTGGGAGGTTTCTTGTACACTACAAAGTAGCACCCCTGAATTCTACCCACGAAGTACCAGCAGTGACAATCAAAACTCTGTAGATGTTGCCAGCTGTCCCTTGGCTGGGGGTTGGGGAGCAGAATCACCTCACCTCTAGTTGGTAACCACTGCTTTGGGCAAAGGCTCCCTCAGAGAGAGGTGGTAGAGAGCCTTGGTTAAGAACAAAAACCTGCAATTTGAATTCTAGAATACTGTGACATATTTAGGCAAATCATTTAATCACTGCCCATTTTCTCCAACTGCAACGTGGGGCCCATAAAAGGACCAAGCACTCAGAGGCTGGCAGAGACAAATGAAGATGAGACAATGTACACAGACCCACATGCACGCCTGGCACACACAGCACATAAACGCTGGCCATACACAGAAGCTAAAGAAGAGCATGCCAAGAGACCCAGATAGGAGCCTAGGGAATAACTTTTTGTGCTCACTTTTAAGTATCTGAGGATAAGAGCAATAATTATACACTATAGGCTGTCTAGATAAGAGCCATCCAGAAGGTGAAAGGGGACTTGAAATTATGCTATACAAATTATTGTTGAAGGAACTCTGCACTGAAAGCAAAGAAGAGAAAATTTGGGGAATAAGCAATAACTGTCCCTGAATATTTGAAGAACTATGTGGAAGAGCTTTGAATTCAAAGACACAAAAGGCGGAAACAAGGGTAGACTTCTTATAGGGGTGTTTGAGCAGAGATAACTTGTAGAAGATACAGTGGATGGGACTCAGGATCTGAAGAGTTTTATTATTTCATTTTATTTATTTTATTTTATTTTATTTTGTTTTATTTTATTATTTTTATTGCCAGGGCACCAGTGTGCATCTCATGAGAGAGAGAGAGAAAGAGAGAGAGAGAAGAAAGCAATCCTTCTGGAGAATAGCCACTCTGCAATCCCTTCTCCTTCATCTCTTTCTCCTCTCAGGATTTGGCATAAGCACACACTGGCACTAGTATTTCTCAAGCCACCAGGGTTAAGCCTCGAACTGTGATTTGATCATGTGGGATCCAGCTGCCTTAACCACCAGGCCATAGAGCTGGCCTTCTGTGGAGAGTTTTAAGACTTGATGACTTCTGTACCTTCCAATTTTCATATTCTCTAAGGTTCTTCTAGAAATGCCTTTGTATTTGGGCATCACTTATAAAGAAGATAGCCACTAAAGTGATAAATTAATCACATGTTGAAAATATGTACTCTTCTCTAAATGATTCATATCCTGGTTTGTAGGCATTAGATGTCATTACTACCTCCACTGTCTGCATATTGAGAAATCCACTTTTTGCATACTCTCAAAGGAATGAGTAAAGACATGAGTTGCTTTTTTTCTTAACTACATGTATTT